ACCCTTGGACTTTTCTTCTCTCAGAGAAGAACAGTATAATGTGCCTTTTACACTTCAAGAACTGGAGGCAACACACTCAGCTTGCCGATCATCGGCAGCTGGGTCCGACGACATTCATATTCGTATGCTAAACATTTACATCAGTCAGCCCTTGCAGTCCTATTATGCCTTTACAATCTTATTTGGTCACAAGGAGTTCTTCCACAGCTGTGGAAATCTGCCATTGTTCTCCCTTTCCGCAAACCAGGCACTACGGAACATGAAGCCTCCCACTATTGTCCCATTGCTCTTACCAGTGCAGTTTGGAAAGTGATGGAATGCCTGGTAAATAGACGTTTAGTGTGGTATTTAGAGACACAACAGTCTCTCCACTCGTCAATATGGCTTTCGTAAGGGACGTTCTACCATAGACCACTTACTACGCTTGGATACGTATGTTCGTAATGCCTTTGCGAATAACCACTCAGTTATTGCCATATTTTTTGACCTTGAGAAGGCATATGACACAACTTGGAGGTATAATATTTTAGCCCAAGCCCACTCCTTAGGCCTTCGAGGCAATCTACCATCCTTCCTTAAGAACTTTTTAACTGACAGGCATTTTCGTGTTCGGGTTAATAATGTGCTCTCCCCGGACTTTATCCAAGCTGAAGGTGTCCCCCAGGGATGTGTTCTGAGCACAACACTTTTTCTCCTTGCTATTAATGATTTGGCCTCTAGTCTACCATCAAATTTTTTGGTCATCACTCTATGTTGATGACTTCGCTATTGCCTGTGCAGGCGCTGACTGTCACCTCATTACAGTTTCTCTCCAGCATGCGGTCGACCGTGTTTCCAATTGGGCCACCACACATGGGTTTAAATTTTCCAGCACTAAAACCCACCAAATTACTTTCACTAGACTCTCTGTCATCTCCGATCATCCTTTGTACCTCTATGGCTCCCGTATCCCTGAACGTGATACAGTCAAGTTTCTGGGCCTCCTCTTTGACCGTAGGTTATCCTGGAAACCTCACATTACCTCTCTGAAGGCAACTTGTCACAGCTGGCTGAACCTTCTTAAAACCCTTGCTCATCTTTCATGGGGAGCTGATCGTCGAACCCTCCTTCGCCTACATTCCACCCTCATTTTATCGAAACTTGATTATGGTGACCAGATCTATTCAGCGGCATCTCTTGCTACTCTCTCTAGCCTTAACCCCATTCATCACCAAGGATTACGTTTATGCCTTGGTGCTTTTCGCTCTTCCCCTGTCGAGAGCCTCTATGCAGAAGCGAACGTTCCATCCTAATCCGATCGCTGTGATGCCCATTGCCTTTGCTACTATGTACGCTCTCATGATCTCTGCAATCCTTCCATTTATAGAATGGTCACTGATATTAGTAGACATTCTTTATTTGTTCGCTGCCCCTGTTTACTCCGGCTCTTCTCTCTTCGCCTTCATTCGCTCTTGTCTTCTCTTCAGTTACCACCTTTCTATGTTCATGTAGCATCTCACTTTTCCCTACCCCCCTGGGAAGTTCCAGCTGTTCGAGTCTGTTCTTTCTCTCTCCCTTGCTCGAAAGCCCAACTGTTTATGGTTGCTTCCCGCTCTCTTTCTTGACCACTTCCACTCTCATTCTCATGCCATTGCTGTGTACACAGATGGCTCTAAGTCTTCTGATGGCATAGGATTCGCAGCAGTGTTTCCGGACAGCGTCGTACGAGGGCATTTACTATCTTCGGCTAGTATTTTTACTGCTGAATTGTATGCCATCCTTGCAGCACTTATCCGTATTGCATCTATGCCTGTGTCATCATTTGTGGTTGTCTCAGACTCCCTTAGTGCTTTACAGGCTATACAGAAATTTGATACACCTCACCCCTTAGTCCTCCGTATCCAACTTTGGCTACGCCGCATCTTTACCAAGCATAAAGATATTTTTTTTGTTGGGTCCCTGGTCATGTAGACGTACAGGGCAATGAACAGGCAGACACTGCTGCGCGGTCAGCAGTACATGACCTACCAGTTTCATATAGAGGTATTCCATTTATGGACTATTTTGCTGCAATATCTTCCCACCTTCACACCCGTTGGCAACAATGTTGGTCTACTATGCTCGGCAACAAACTTCAGTCTATTAAACCGAGTATAGGTTACTGGCCGTCTTCTTATCACCAGTGTCGAGGTTGGGAGACTACTCTCTCCCGTCTTCGCATTGGCCATACTCGTCTTACTCATGGATATCTCATGGAGAGGCGCCCTGCTCCTCTCTGTGAGAATTGCCAAGCTCAATTATCAGTCAGCCACATTCTGTTGGACTGCCCACTTTATCAACGAGCACGCAGAATTTACCTCCGTCGTCGTCTTCGCTCCGCTGCTCTCTCTTTACCTTCCCTTCTCGCTGATGGACCCACCTTTCATCCGGACTCTCTCATTGACTTTTTGACAGCAACTGACTGACTTCACAAATTCTGATACCTTCAGCCCTTTCTACTTCAATCTCTTGCTACCCTCTACCCCTGTACTATCCCCTGCCTCGCTGTTTTCTGTGACCTACTGATCATCCCTCCTCCCTTCTGCCACCCAATACCCTCGCTTCCTTCCCTACCCTGCAGCGCTGTATAGCCCTTGTGGCTTAGCGCTTCTTTTTGATTATAATAATAATCTGGCAAACTGCAGGTGTTCCTTCTTCATATGGGATGTGAGTAGGGGTTTCCTTGCAGCACTACAACTTGGTAGGCAGAGGTCTCTTTTACAGGTGTTGATGGATGCACTGAATTAAGGATCATCCAGGAGTTCAGGATGTATTTCCTTTAGCTGTAATGCAGTCATATGTATACATATTTCTACCTAGCTTTCCTGTGCAGAATATTATTTGTGTGTTCAGATGTCTTCTTTGGTCATCCAAGATGATTGCAAGCACAACCATTACACTGGACTTTGCTTGTCCAGTACGGTGGCAGATTTACTTCAGGAACTTTTCTTGTCACCAAGCCAACATACAGGCTTTTTTCCCTCACCTTTGAACACCCATATTTATTCACTTGGCACAAAATTACACTGCATTTAATACAGCTCCAAATTCTGGGCACTAGGGGATAGAGCAATGCAGCAGGAACACTTTATCTCACTGCTGTATGAAGGCATTCTGAGAGGTCACACATACTACAGATGAAGAATATCATTAAATATGCAGTATAATGGAGGCTGCACCACCTTTAGACATGATGGAGCCCTCTGTCACAAAGCCAGGAAAGTAACCAAGTGGCTTGCTTAGAAAAATATTGAGGTTTTTAGTGGCCAGGAAATAGTTCAGACCTCAATTATATTGAGAATATATCTGGAATATAATGTAAAAGAAGATGGAATCCTGCTACATTTCATTGCTGTAGTGCCTGAAGAAAATAAAAAATATTTGGGTCAACCACTTACCCAGTGATAACTTCAGGATTCTGAGTGAAAGTAATTCCCATACAGCTTCAAATAGTCATCAAAGCCAAAATATTTGTTTTTATTGGCAGATGTTGCAGGTGTATGGTGCAGGAGGTAGGTTACTGAAAGCAGTGAAGAGTTTTTACAAGGATAGTGAGGCTCAAGTTAGAGTATGTAGGAAAGAGGGAGATTATTTCCCAGTAAAAGTAGGCCTTAGACAAGGATGTGTGATGTCACCGTGGTTGTTTAATATATTTATAGATGGGGTTGTAAGAGAAGTAAATGGGAGGGTCTTGGCAAGAGGCGTGGAGTTAAAAGATAAAGAATCACACATAAAGTGGGAGTTGTCACAGTTGCTCTTTGCTGATGATACTGTGCTCTTGGGAGATTCTGAAGAGAAGTTGCAGAGATTGGTGGATGAATTTGGTAGGGTGTGCAAAAGAAGAAAATTGAAAGTGAATACAGGAAAGAGTAAGGTTATGAGGATAACAAAAAGATTAGGTGATGAAAGATTGGATATCAGATTGGAGGGAGAGAGTATGGAGGAGGTGAATGTATTCAGATATTTGGGAGTGGACATGTCAGCGGATGGGTCTATGAAAGATGAGGTGAATCATAAAATTGATGAGGGGAAAAGGGTGAGTGGTGCACTTAGGAGTCTGTGGAGACAAAGAACTTTGTCCTTGGAGGCAAAGAGGGGAATGTATGAGAGTATAGTTTTACCAACGCTCTTATATGGGTGTGAAGCATGGGTGATGAATGTTGCAGCGAGGAGAAGGCTGGAGGCAGTGGAGATGTCATGTCTGAGGGCAATGTGTGGTGTGAATATAATGCAGAGAATTCGTAGTTTGGAAGTTAGGAGAAGGTGCGGGATTACCAAAACTGTTGTCCACAGGGCTGAGGAAGGGTTGTTGAGGTGGTTCGGATATGTAGAGAGAATGGAGCGAAACAGAGTAACTTCAAGAGTGTATCAGTCTGTAGTGGAAGGAAGGCGGGGTAGGGGTCGGCCTAGGAAAGGTTGGAGGGAGGGGGTAAAGGAGGTTTTGTGTGCGAGGGGCTTGGACTTCTAGCAGGCATGCGTGAGCGTGTTTGATAGGAGTGAATGGAGACAAATGGTTTTTAATACTTGACGTGCTGTTGGAGTGTGAGCAAAGTAACATTTATGAAGGGGTTCAGGGAAACCGGCAGGCCGGACTTGAGTCCTGGAGATGGGAAGTACAGTGCCTGCACTCTGAAGGAGGGGTGTTAATGTTGCAGTTTAAAAACTGTAGTGTAAAGCACCCTTCTGGCAAGACAGTGATGGAGTGAATGATGGTGAAAGTTTTTCTTTTTCGGACCACCCTGCCTTGGTGGGAATCGGCCAGTGTGATAATAAAATAAAAAAAATAATTCCATAATGTTTGTTGTTTTTTAATTAATTTTGTAATAATAAAGGGATAGTCGAGACTATTTTTTCCAGGCAGTGTACTTGGCAGCCTATTCCACTCCTTGTTAAAATGAAAGGGAAGTGATGTTTGAGTTCTATATAAAATGTATTATAATTTTATGCAGAAATTTTTGTATAATTTTTCTTTTCTTGTGTAGCAAACTGATAGTCGGGAGCAGCTTGAGCGCACGACCTCTCTCGTCAACCTTGCCACCCCTGACTATGAACTCAGGAAGGCTCAATCATCTAATGACATTTCTTATGGTGAGTACTAAACCTTATTGAGACACTGTGTGCATCTATATGCTTGTAAAAATATGTTATGTAAAATGCAGTACAAAAGTATAAAATGCACACAGTTTTGAAATTTGAATTATAACTAAAAATTAAAGTCACAGGAAATGTAACAGGAAAAAGAGAGGGTATATAATAATCACATTAAAGTTTATACCCTAAAACAGAGAGGAAGAAAAGTGGGGTATCGTATCATCACCAACAAGGAGAACAAGAGTACAGTTTACAGTTACAGTACAAGCAACAGTGCAGTGATAACAGAAGAAAATAATTCTTCAGTCTTCTTGGTAAATCAATGGAGTACAGTCCAGGAGAAAGTAGCGTAGTGTGTGGGACATTATCTGGGACTTTAAAATCTATAACAAACTGAACATTGAAGACATAACATTGGGTGGCCCGGTGGCCTGGTGGCTAAAGCTCCCGCTTCACACACGGAGGGCCCGGGTTCGATTCCCGGCGGGTGGAAACATTTCGACACGTTTCCTTACACCTGTTGTCCTGTTCACCTAGCAGCAAATAGGTACCTGGGTGTTAGTCGACTGGTGTGGGTCGCATCCTGGGGGACAAGATTAAGGACCCCAATGGAAATAAGTTAGACAGTCCTCGATGACGCACTGACTTTCTTGGGTTATCCTGGGTGGCTAACCCTCCGGGGTTAAAAATCCGAACGAAATCTTATCTCTTATCTATCTTACAAGCCTACTGATAGCTCTGCTCTTGCAACTACCATGTGTCTAATTCATCATCTTGTCAGTATTGAATACCTGTGACATACAACTTGTCAGATGCAGCACCATCATGGAATCTTGATACCGAGGACACAACCTACTTGCTAACTTCTGGCCCAACTCTTGGGCATGACCTACTTCTACTGGGGAGTTCTTCCTACCAATGATAATGCCTTTGCTACACGTCATACTCAAGTATATGAGTACCAGTATTCTTGCCTGTGCTATGTACCCTGAGGGGTATTTCTAATGGTTATAATTACAACCATAATTTTTAAAGGAGTGGACCGGTAAGCCAGTGGAAGGCCTTGGTTAGATGACCAAAAGCTTCAGCTGCAGGTCATCATATGACCGTGACCCGCATCAAGAAACATTTGTCCTGTTTCCTGACAAAGCTTACCTAACCTAACCTTGGCTGTGCTCATCACCTGCTCCTAGGCTGAGGGACTGATTAGCTCATTTTCTACTGACTGCTGTATATATTTCTGATGTCTTTATTTTATGTCCGTGTAATGTACTGATAAAGCCAGTCGATGGCAAAACATCTACAAGATACCCAGATGTTGCTCATGTCTAATTCATCATGTTTGATCTTGTTAAATCTGGGAGAAGGTAGACAAATTTTTGAAGTTTGACAAGTGCTCTTGGGTTGTGAGAAACATAATGTTTATAGAAGGATTATGGGAAACCTGACAATGGTAGAGATCCTGGAGGTGGGAAGAGCAGTTCTTGCACTTCGAAGGATATGCTGAGTTGTTGTTTCACTTGAGGTGTAACGTTTGTGCACTTCTCGAAAGACAGACGGCTAGATAAGAACTGATTGATCATCTGATGTTAACAAAAGTGGTAATATACAGTATACTGAGAACTTGTATCACTGTTTCTAAAGAATAGTTTGTCTAGCAAACTTGTCTGAGTATCTGTTAATATTCATTTTTCACTTTAAAAATGTGGATAAAATCCATTTCTCAGATAAAATACAATTTTAAATTGTGCCTATATACTCTGTGTCTCGGCATAGTGTTTATTTTTTATAATTAATTCAGCAATGTTAAACTGGTACAGTGGTTGTGAGAGTGTATAGTAGCAATAAATGCAAATAATGAGGGTAAGCTGAAGCAGATGGCTGGAGATTGTCCACCATGTAGTTTAACAAGGCAACGCCCATGTTAAACCTGCTGGCTCAGGCCACTCTGCACACGCCCATACTTTATAATAAAACCAATGCTGCTATAAGGATCAGGCTACCGTCAGCTGTCACATCTCGTACTCAAGCTGAAGTTACTTAAAACACCTTTATCAATGGCTGTTATTGCATGGTGCTATCAGTACCTATTACATTATCCTCGTATTCTAGCAAGCATTTCACCAAACCTTTCATTGAGTCAACTTCATGTTGAGTTACTTAGCTGTTTTAACTTTTAAGGTTTAAATAATAAAATAGTATTACAAGGACCTCAATGGAAATAAGTCACTTTGACGCTTTTTGGGTTATCCTGGTGGGTAATTTACACATACAGGAGGGCCCTGCTATTACAAACACAGATGTAGAATGGCCTGCACACCTGGCTGGAGTTGAACAAATAGTGGAGCAAGCTGGTATTTACAATATGTACAGAAATGTAAGAGTTTTTTTTTTAAATGGGATGGAAAACCTTGTACTATATATATATATATATATATATATATATATATATATATTATATATATATATATATATATATATATATATATAATTATATTTATTTATTTATTTATAAGAGTTTGTGATAAGGTAGACATTGATAATTAGTGCTAGTAGTATCATCATTAACACCACCAGTACCACTACTGCCACCTATACCCCAGTACCACTACTGCCACCTATACCGCCAGTACCACTACTGCCACCTATACCACCAGTACCACTACTGCCACCTATACCACCAGTACCACTACTGCCACCTATACCACCAGTACCACTACTGCCACTTATACCACCAGTACCACTACTGCCACCTATACCACCGGTACCACTACTGCCACCTATACCACCGGTACCTCCACTGGCTTTGCCATCACTACCACCACCTGCACCACTAGTATAATACCACTTATGCTACCAGTACCACCACCTGCACCACCAGTAATACTATTACCACCTACACCACAAGTACCTCCACCTGCATCACCACTGCCACTACCTGCACTACCAGTACCTCCACCTGCATCACCACCACTACCACTTGCATCTTTACCACCTACAACACTACCTCACCACCACCACCTGGATCACTACCACCTACATACCATCTACAACACTACCTGCATCACCACTACCACCTACGTACCATCTACAACACTACGTGCACCACCACCACCTACATCACTGCTGTTACCTGCATCACTACCACCTACATCACTGCTGTTACCTGCATCACTACCACCTACATCACTGCTGTTACCTGCATCACTACCACCTACATCACTGCTGTTACCTGCATCACTACCACCTACGTACCATCTACAACACTACCTGCATCACTACTACCACCTATGTACCATCTAAAACACTACCTGCACCACCACCACCTGCACACTACCACCTACGTACCATTTACAACACTACCTGCATCACCACTACCGCCTGCATTACTACCACCTATGTACCATCTACAACTACCAGCACCACCACCACCTGCATCATCACTACCACCTACGTACCATCTGCAACACTACCAGCATTACTACCACCTCAGCACAGTAACAATTATAAAGCCTGCCCACAGGTCGCCTACACTCTTGGTTTATTGCCCAGCTCCAGATTAAATTGCTCGACACAAGGTAGCAATATTACGTTCTCTCAGTGAGGTACACAGTCCATCCAGCCTTGTAAGAAATAAAAAAAAACTGCCTCATTAATATTGCACGAGGCTCCACTCGTCCCAAATTCGGCAGGTTGAGTCTCGCTGCCAACCATTCTTACAACCATGCCACAAACTGTCATGTCCTCTGAAACTTGTATACATTGTATCATTTTATTATATTTAATATCATTGATTAATAAGCATGGAGGTTTCTTCAGTACAATCCTAATGGAATTAGAGGTAGCTGAAATGTAGCTTGTTAATTGCCTTTAACAAGTATTGCCAAGCTCTAAACTCATCAGGGGGAAAAGGAGTGAGGCAATTTGCTTTGGTCCGAGGAAGGGAAGAGTAGCAGCAGTTCCTTAAATGAAAGCTCTTCACCGGTATTCCTTCTTGAGGAATATGGAAGAAGTCGACTCATTCGTAATTAAACGGAATACCATTTTCCAGTGTAGTCATAAGATCAGTATTAATTCTTTATATAAAAATATTCTGTCTGGGACATTGTAATTGACGCGCTAACCTGTTTAGCATAAGTAGTAGTGAAGCTTCGATCCTCCGTCTGTTAAGTACGGGAAAAAGGAGCATCATAGAGGTACTTTTGTAGTTGTGACTGGGATAGGAAACATTGGCTTATATAAACCGTATCAAATGCCATGGATACGCAACTTTCACCCGCGAGGCCCGGGTTCGATTCCCGGCATGGGAAAATGTATTTGGGGCTCCGTGGCCTGGCTGGCAAAGCTCTCGCTTCACACGCTGAGGGGTCCGGGTTCGATTCCCGGCAGGATGAAAACAATGGACGCGTTTCCTTACACCCGTTGTCCTGTTTACCTAGCAAGTAGGTACCTGGGTGTTAGTCAACTGGTGTGGGTCGCATCCTGGGGTACAGATTCAGGACCACAATGACTTTCTTGGGGTATCCTGGATGGCTAACCCTCCAGGGTTAAAAATCCGAACAAAATCTTATCTTATCCTTGTAATCCATCTGGGAAAGTATCAGTGGGTTAGCGGACCACCAGCAGCAACAACCTAGTTGACTAAATGTAAATTTTTATTTCTTAGCAAAGGTTACAATGTGTAATTTACATTTTATAAAATGTTAAATAAAAAGAGAGCCAGTAGCATGCCTGAGCATTTCGGACAAACACCGGACGAGCCTGGACTTTGGCCGGTCTCTGGGAGTAAAAAAAAAAAATTAGCTCATCAAAGGTGTAAAAGTAACAGTTGGTGATGTCATGGGTGAGTTACTTTGATCCAGGTGTCGACAGTAGTGAAGAAAACTTGTTAAACGCGCTTTTATTGGGACAACCTTTCGTTGTATAGCGCTTTTATTGGGACAACCTTTCGCTGTATAGCGCTTTTATTGGGACAACCTTTCGTTGTATAGCGCTTT